CAGGTAGCCAGTGGTGTGAGTCCCCATCCGAATGTGAAGGCTCAAGAACTAGAAGTATTGGTGTCCAAGGGGAAAAAGATGGATGTTCCTGCTGAAGCAGAAAGGGCAAAAACACCCTTCTTCATTTCCAGGAATTTTTAATATTTGCTTTCTAACTTTAAGAGGTCTTGTGTGTGTGTGTGTGTGTGTGTGTGTGTGTGTGTGTGTGTTTTGTTGCTCTGCAAATTAAATCATAGCAACTTCCTGAGGTGGGATATGGCAGACTCCCCTTCCTGTAGAATAGGGGAGACCCTGCCTTTCCATCCGGTGGTCCAGAGGAGCCATGCCAAAAATTGGTCAAGGCTCACGATACTGGGAGAAAAGTCAAGGCCAGGCAGATTCCTTAAATGTTCTAGGAATTCTGTCTTTTTCGATTGGGTTATTCTATGAAAATTCTTTCTTTCTTCAACAAACTCTAGAAGTTTGAACATCCAGAACAGAGCTTAAAATCTGACTTTCTCAGTGTCCTTGATTATATTCAAGTCACTGATTAGTGTCATGATACACAAAGTGACTGAGGTGAGGTTCTCAAGTGAAAATTTCAACTTACTTACATTGTTCTCTGAAATTCTAAAATAAAGTGAATCTTATAAGAAAAAAAGTTCTTTTACTGTTTTGCTTCATAAAAGCCAGTTTGCTCTACAAAGTGGAAGAACATTTTGTAGAACCTGGCAGGATAGAAATTGATGTCTTGTTCAGTGGTTTTCCCTTGAAGAACTAAAAACACTTACATGTATTACTTATACTTTAAGTAGTCCGGTGAGGTATATGTTTAAATGGGGTACATGATTTTAGTTAAGGACAACAGTCAAATGGGACTCATTTTTCACTATACAATGACTAATTTTGCACTAGGAAAATGATATCTTTTATCAAGGGGCAGTTAAAGGGATTTATCTTGCCATGCAGAGATAATTGAGTTATTTTCCTTTGGATAAAAATTAGCTTTGCATATTTTCCCCTTTTATAAGATCTTTTACTTAGTACCCAAAACATTTATAACTGTTAGGGCATCTATCAAAGAAGTCATCTACTTTATTTACATTATTATTAATTGGCAGACTTCTCAATCTTTGTTTCAGATTCAGGGTACCTGCAGAGCACTGGCATTCTGAGATAAGAAAACCTCCTATCTACATTCAATATTGACATTATCCTTATATACTTCACCTTTCATAAAGCTCTTATTTTCCTGAATTATATTTTTTGCTTTTTTTGTTACTATTAGTTTCATGACCTAAGTGGCATTCTTATGAATATTTTGTAACAATTAGACTAAACAGTAAAGGGACTATTACGTAAATATAGCATAATTTATACAGACAAATGAGTGTTGCCCCTTCAGAAGAGACCCCTCTGAATTCAAAATCTTTTTTTCCAGCCAAGTTGTGTCAGAGGCTAGGGCCTTGACTTTTGAGACTTAAAAGTAACTTGGAACCAAATCTGGTTAATAAAGGGTGAGCAACTTACATAGGGAAGGGAGCTTCATTTCTTGAGTTTCCATAAAGGGAATTGTATGTATGTCAGCGTCCCTGAAAGAAGAGGCCTCCTATCTCCATTTGGTAGCTGGGCAAGTTCAGAGAAAGGAATGGCCTGCCCAAGTTCACTCCACTACTAGTAAATCGACTGCACTCCAGTTTGGGTTTGATCTCAGAGTCATTTACTCTTCCCCTATATTAGGCTGATTATTTTATTTACCTTTAGAGAAGGTTTATTTACCTTCTTTATTTAAAGCCGCTTTATTTACCTTTAGAGAAGACACACTTCTCTAAAGTCATGAAGCTAATATTTTTCTATCTGGCTTATGGGTTGATTCGAATTGCAAATGAATGAAATGATACAAAAAAAATATTTTGAAAAATATCATCAGTGTTGAAAGAAGCAACTTATTGGAAGGAGAAGTCTAATATAGATGTCGAGGTTCTATTAATGTATACGAGAAAATGAGTGTTGGGAATTATGTGCCATGTATGATAGATAACCTCACTCATTTTTCCAAATTATCTGACTTAAATTTCACACTGGATTTTTAAGAAATTTGTTGATTAACCTACCAGATTGCGAATCACTCATTTCACATATTACGTAAGTAACTTCAGGAACTCTAACTCAGTTGTTTTTGGTTAGAGAGCTAAAAGCACCTGCTGCCATAAAATTGCTCGTTCATAAGCAGATGATCTTGTTAAGGTTGGAGGGAGGCAGGGTGGATCACCAAGCCACACCAGAAGTGGGAGTTGAGGCCCACGTGAGGTTCTGGCGCTGGGCTGGAGGGCACCACCACCTGAAAGTGGGACCGCAGGGTGCTCTGGGTGGCACAGTGCTTGGTGCTGGTATTTCTATTTATTTATTTTTAAATGTTTTATTTATTTTTGAGAGCGAGGGAGGGAGGGAGGGAGGGAGAGAACGAGCAGGGGAGGGGCAGAGAGAGAAGGGGACAGAAGATGCAAAGCAGGCTCCATGTTGACAGCAGCAAGCCCAGTGTGGGACTTGAACTCATCATGACCTGAGCCGACGTCAGCCGTCAGCCGCTCAACTGACTGAGCCACCCAGGCTCCCCGTTGTGCTGGTACTTTTAAAAGTCTTTAAGGAATTGGAATGTTGCCCATAATATTCCTTTTCAAGGGGTATCAGCATAGAATTCTGAGAGGTAGAAAATAAAACATTTTTATATCATAAGTCCAAGACAACTTCTTGCTCTTAGGTTTTATGACTTTATAATCTAAATTATTCAAGGATATTTATACTCTTAAAAAAATACTTTTGTGGAGTCCAAAATATGTTAAGGCAGTATTTATATTCCCCATAATTCTTGACATGTATGGGTGCCAAGTAACTGTTTTCTGAGCTGGCAGGAACACAAAAATTTACAAAGCATTTTGAGTATACTGTGTCAATATTACAGTCTCTTATACAGATACCTGTTTCCTAGCGTGCATAAATTGTTTTTTCGAATATGCTAAGCCCGATAGAGGATTTAATGCAATATATTTGACAAAAGCAATGGGAAGTTGCTACACGTACACATACGTGAGATAAAATGGCCCGTGAGGTGTAGAATCGAGTGGCCGGGGTGAAGCGAAGCTGGAAGCCCCCCTGGAGGTGTCAGTGCCAGTGCCAGGGTGGGGGTCTTATTTGAGACGCGGAAACTCATGCCAATCATTTGAAAAATCTCTTTCCAGAGACCGAAAGCTCCGGCATCTCCCGCCCCGGAGGAGGACCCGTGCCTTTCCTTTCCCAAACCCCCAGTGGACGCTGCAAAGATGAGAAGAATAAGCAGTGCCCGGGCGCGCTTATTCAGGGCGGCCTCCCAGGGGGCTCTTCTGCCTGACAGGACACTTCCTCCCGCTGAGCGTAAGGCTGGGTGACATCCTTTAAACCGGGGACCTGGGGGGGGGGGGGCAGGTGATTTGAATTTGCACATACAAGTTATTTTTACAGGACTTTTTTTCAAACCCCACAGGATTTTTACAGTAACACTTATTGTTCGTATATTTTTCTGGGCATTCATGAAGAGTACCTAAATATCACAGTTTTTCTAAAAAAGTTACTTGGTAGGAAAAGAATATTAGGGTTAAGTGTTTTCTAATGAAGGAGTTCACCTATATTGGAAACAAGTGATTTTTTAAATTAGTTCAAACAGTTGTTCATTTCATTAGGCACATTTAGAGATTCATACAATGTGCCCTATGCTTAGGTCTTTGAGGATACCTTTCCAATCCCATGTGACAAAGTAAGCTAAAGTTGGAGGCTTTTCCAGTTCTTTCCCACAGAATTGCTGGCAGGTATCTACACCCGGAGGCAGAGATGCTACAAACCTCAAGCTCTAATGTGTGCCCCAACCATTGGAATCAACCCCTGTCCAGAGTACACTAAGAGTTTTTCAGATTCTGCAGGAAATGTCTCTTTAGTGGGATGACAATCAGTCTAGAGCATCACACCAGTATTGAGAGAAAAAAAAAATGAAATAGAATAGAATAGAATGGAAGACATCAGGGCACATCACAGATCGTAGGGCAAGTATTGCTTCAAGGAGACCTTACTGTGGTCACGTACATGTGTGTTCAGGGTCATATTATTAATTTATTATATATTACACTTAATTTATGTTATGAACTTATTATTACTGCATGTAGTCCAAATAGTTGGAAAACCACTTTACTAGGGGCTGCAGAACGGGCCCTCCTTCAATCAATAAGATGAATAGGGGTAGGTATACAGTCACAGAGAGGAGATTATGTGAAGATGGATCCCAAAAGTTACAAGTCACTGCCTGAGGATCCTACTTGATATTCAAGGGTTTTCTTTTAATGAGTCACCAACACTTAAAGGTAGAAGATCTCATGGAAGCATCCAGATTCATGACTTCTTATGAAAAAATTAGAAGATCTGGCAGTCCTGGGCCTTTGTTCCGTGTAGCACCCATCCACTCCCATTAGCCCGGGGTATGGGCTGCAGTTCCCTATGTCTCCCCAGCCCACTTTACTCATGTTCTGGTCCCTCTGATCCCTGTAATCCCTGACATGGCCAAAGAGACTCATGAAGAAGTCATGAAGAAAGGGAAATAGGCAATCCAGGGCACTCATGTCGCACGGTAACAGTTGCTGTCACGGGATATATAATTAGGCAACTTGCTTTACCTCGATGTCCCAATTTGTTTCCTTTCTAACAGTCAGTCAATCAGATATTTATTGAACCCCTTCTAAGTGCCAGATACCATTCTAGGTTCACAGGGTCCTGCCTTCAAAGAGCTTGTGAGGGGGGATAGACAGTAAACAGGAAAACAAAGAAATAAGATAATTTGGGTCCGACGAGGGCTATGAAGAAGATACGCAAGATGACAGGATGGAGAATGTCATGGCGGGAGTAGCTCAGGTGGCACTGGAATGTGCTTGAGGAGGTGACCCCTGGGTCGAAACGTGACTAGGGAGAAAAAGGCAGGTATATAGAAACCTGTGGATGAGGTGCCCGTACTGAGGGACAGCGAGGCCCGAGACGGGGGGAGGCTCGGATGGTGGAGGCTGGGAAGGCCAGTGTGGCGGGAAGGTGGTTAACCGTGGGAACGTGAAAGGAGGGGAGGCCACAGCCCGGCAGGGCCGAGCTGTGGAAACCAGCCCAGACTTTATGCTGCTTGCACTGAAAAGCCAGGGCAGGGTTTAAGTGAGGGAGAGACCTCATCTGACTTCAGTTTCTCAGCTATAGCTGCACCTTAGGATCACCTGAGGAACTTTTCAACCGTTCCCCCACCAGGGCCCCAGTTAGACCAGTTAGATCCGGAAGGATTGGTAATTGCAGGAGCAAAGCCCCTGCCAGCAGGAGAGGGGATGGGATCTGGAGTCCGGGGTCAGGGGTTGAGGTCAGACCTAGAGAGGAACAGCGTCACTCCTTGTAAACGGGTGGTAGAGCTGGTGTGCCGGTACTGTTGTTTGCTAGACGTTTTGCTATCAAGCCTGAATGCCGCCTCCGCGGCATTTAACTCCTGGTTGCTCACCGTGGGAGCCTTGCTGCTTCCTGAGCTGTTCACGTCTACAGGTGAGTGACTGGAGAGACAGTGCTTCACCCACCATCCCCATCTTTGCTTCCCTTGTGGCTCTGTGCCTTCCCTTCGAGGCCGCCTGGCCCTCGACTGTGCACCCACAGCACACCTGTGCTTGGGAGGTGCCATCTGCGGCTGTCATTTCCCAGCACCGAGGCCGTCCCCACGCCTCCGAGCGGTCAGAAACAGGTCTTTGTTGCCGTCCTTTTATCCACCCTGTCTGCAGGTGCTCTTTGCTCATCAGCCCTGGGGTCTGTGTCAGCACTCAGGAAACAATGGCAGTAAAAAGTCAGAGTCATTTTAAAAGCACCGTTGCCCAATTAAAAAAATATGTTATATATTATTATATATGGTATACATGTATATTTTAATGCTGCAGCCTTGGGATTATTGTCATTTGTGCAGGAGCTCCCTGGGCTTTGTGTCAGAGACTCTATTGTTTAGTAAAGGTGTCTTTCGGTGGGTGACGGGTGTAAAGGCAGCCGTGCTTGGAGACAGAGGGTGTGCCCCTTCCTTTGATGTGAAGTCATCTGTAGCCGACTCTGCCTCGGGCAGGGCTGGGGGTGTGGTGGCAGGCTTGGAATTCCTGATTTAAGAAAATGAAAGGGGAAGAGAGGTGTGTAGTGATCTTCACAGGACCAACAGTTTAATTGCTCTGTGTTGAAATAGGCTTTTCGGCTGGACATGGCAGTGATGCTAAGGCCGCCCCAGTTACTCAATCTGGACAGAGACCTCAGGGCAGTCTCCCCCCCCCCCCCCCCCCACCCCATTCCCTGCCCTCTTTGCCTTCACAGGGAGAGCCCTCGTCAGGCTTCCTAAATGGGCTTCCTAAGCATCTTCTGGGTCCGCATTTCCCTTTCCTACCACTGCTGCACTTCTGTTCTCACCTCTTGCCTTGTGCTTGGCCTTCTAGGCCCCTTTCTCATCCTCCCTCAGCTCACTGATGACCCTCAGCCCTTAGAGCAGCCAGAAGAGCCTGGAGAAACCAAGCTGTCAACCACACATGGCTGTGAGCAGCCGCCTTCTCCCTTCATCCCAGTGGACCGTGAAAATGATTATTTTCTGTGTGTGCCATATGGGCCAGGAAGCAAATAAAAATCAAATTGCATCATCTTCTTGCTGAAAACCCTTTGGAGGGCTCCCTGTGCCTTAAAGGAGTGTTTGCCAAACTGAGTTCCAGCATTCCCTTGGAAAAGTGGTTCAGCACTCAAATCAATCTGCCTGCTTCCTCTCCCTCTTGGAGAGTCCTGGCACACATGGGCATATTTGAGGGTCAGTAAAGATGCCTATTTAATTTTAATTCAACCCAGCATTTTACAAATGTACTTGACTGTGGAATCTATCTTTTGAAAAATGCAGTTTGGGAAATGCTGACCTAGCACAGAAGTTGGCAGACTTTTTCTGTAAAGGGCCAGAGAGTAAATATTTTAGACCTCATGGGCCATATAGTCTCTGCTCAACCTACTCAACTCTGCTGTTGTAGTGGGAAAGCCACATAGACTGATTTATGGCCACTGAAACTTGAATTTCCTGTAATTTTCACATGACACAAGATAGTGTTCTCTTTTTGATTTCTTCCCAATCATTTAAAAATGTAAAAACCATTCTGAGTTTGTAGGCAGTACGAAAACAGGAGGCAGACTAGATTTGGTGGTTAGTTTGCTGACTCCTGGCCTAGGGGATAAAATCTCTGCTCCTCATCATGCACAGCTCCGTAGTGATCTAGCCTAACATTCCAGGCCCTTCTTTTGACCCTCCTTTCCCTACCCTCCACAGCCTGTGCACCAGCGGTTTGGAACTCCTTGCAGTTTCCCATCCTGGTCCTGCTGATTCAAGCCTCTTGCAGGAGCTGCTCTATACTTGCTGGACCCAGTGCAAAATGAGAATGTGGGGCTCTTTATTAAATTATTGGGAATTTCAAGATGGCAACAGCCAAGCATAGGGCCCTTCTTTGTGTGGGGCCCTGCTTGACTATACAGCATATATGCACATAAAGCTAACTCTGACTCCAGACTTTTGTTCCTTTTTCACAGAACTCCTTTTTGCCTCCTGTTAATCCTTGAAGAATACTTCTCAGGCTCTGCCTCCTCTATGAATCTTTCCCTGACCAACTTCCACACCCCTCAGGACTCTCCTGTTCTCTATACCACCCTTACTGGCTCAGACCATGCTGTACTGCATTTCTCTCTTTACATGTCCGCCTCTCTATCTCCCCTACTAGACTGAGCAGCTTCAGTAGGAAGAGAGGTTTTCTTTATTTCTTTCGGTAGGAAAAGAGCCTGAGAACCTAAAACAGGGTCTAATATATAGTAGGTGCCAAAGCAATATCTGTGAAATGGAACCATTCCTGTATAGTAATACTATTTGTTGTAGACTTCTTTTTTTAATGTTTATTTATTTTTGAGAGAGAGAGAGACAGAGACAGAGTGCGAGCAGGGGAGGGGCAGAGAGAGAGGGAGACACAGAATCTGAAGCAGGCTCCAGGCTCTGAGCTGTCAGCACAGAGCCAGACGTGGGGCTCAAACTCACGAGCCTTCGAGCCATGAGGACATGACCTGAGCTGAAGTTGGCCACTTAACTGATTGAGTCACCCCTGTTGTAGACTTTTGAAGTTGAGCCATGATCCATTACAAAATTAGTAAAATGTGCTACAGATATTTACCGGGGACACACAGGGCATTGTTACGAATGCTCAGTTTAATGGTGGACATCCACCATCCACCCTGGAAGACTGAGCCCCAGGGCAGCTCTTCGCTGTAGTAATGAGTGACAGCTCACCCCAATAGATTGTGAAGTTACAGGGGGCTGCAGCAACTCCCCCTATGAGTATGGGTGTGTTTCCCCTCTAGAAGAGAAGCTCCCTGACTGCTGGGACTTCTTGGTTAGACTGCCAGCACCTGGAGCAGCACCTGGCATGTAGCAGTGAGTGCCTAGTAAATATCCATGGAGTAAATGAAGGAAGGAAACAGATGTTAAAATACAGGAATAGGCTAAAGATGCTTTGTGACCTAAAACAAAACATGTGCTTTGTTATTCAGTAGGAAAGATATTTAAGGCAGAGTGGTGCTACTGAGCGTGCCCTGGACCAGAAGTCGGGATTCTTGGGTTCCCTTAATGATGATGAAATAACTTCTGGGTTTTGAGTAAATCACTTTACTAGGCCACATTGTTTAATTCTCACCACATCCCTAAGAGGTGGGGACTACTGAGAAAGGTGAGAGAAAGGTTGAGTGACCTGCCTGCAAGGGTCAGCCCTTGCAGTACTGACTTGGGGCCAGTACTTGACCCCAAGTCCGATGGAAGGGCAAAGCCTACGCTCCTCCTACTGTATGGTCCCGGCTCTCCCCAAACTTGCTCTGTGAACTGAGACTGGCCACTTAACATTTGGGTTTTCAGTTTTCTCATCTGAAAATTGAAATTTGGGCTAGCTGATCTCTAAAGTTTTTTTCAGTTTTGAAATGCATTGTTTTGAAAGCAGGGGGCTTGGTAAGAGTGGACCAAGTGGTTTTGTTGGTTTTTATTGGTTTGCTCGTGCAAGTGCAGAAAAAGACACTTTGGGTGTTTGCAAAACAGTGTTTTTCTATAAAATCTCATCCCTCCCTGCCCTTTTGAAAAAAATATTCTCTCAGAGATTCAAGCATGGTAGCAGCATCACAGATGAACTATGCCTAATGGCCATTTGTTGATAAACACTGTTGTATCACAAGTTTAAGAATCTGCAGTCATAGACACAATAGATGTTTCAGTTTAGAGACTGGACTTTTTGCAACTCTTATTATCTTACTCCTCTTTAGAAAGCCTTATAAGCCAAAGCTGTCTTCCTACCACCTAGCAGTGGTGTGTAAAGCCTCCACGATCTGGCTGCTGCCGCTCTGATCACCTCTCTTCTTCTTCTCCCTCACATACTCCACTCCTATTGTGCCTTAAGCATGCCAGGCACACTCCTGCCTTAAGACCTCCATACCTGCTAATCCCTCTGCAAGGAAGATTGTCCCTCATCAACTGATAGCCAGTAGCCTTGCCTCCATTAAGGGTTTGCCTACCATACCCACCCTGTTCAAAACTGCTACCTGCCCCCATCCCCAATCCTCTTTGGTTTTCTCCATTTTTCTACTTATGCTTTGTTTTGTTTTTTCCGTAGCAGTTATTCTATAATATACCTCATTTATCAGGGTATATTATTTATTATCTCTTCATACCTATTAGGATATAAGCCCTAAGAAGTCAGGGATCTTTGTTTTGTCACTGCTACATCTTGAATGTGTAGACCAGTGCCTGATATCATGGAGGCACTCAAGACTTTTTGAATAAAAAATTATTAACATGATCAAATTCAGGAAAAGGAGTCATCACTCTGGGATGCAGATGTATTTAAATGTGGACGGAGTTATTCATAAACCTAATTTGAGTGTTTGTCCTCTGGTAGACTCAGAGCGTCAAGAGAAGATCCCACTCGTTTCTGATGAATTGGTGCCACCAAGCCTGAAATAGTGGTGAGGTATTGTAGATGTCCAGGTAGACTTTGGCCGTACAATTCCAGACTTGGTTATACGTAACATATAACTTTTACATTGTACCAATTCTCAGACTGAAAAAAAAAAAAAACATTGAAATAGTGATTCTTAAAGTAAGAAATACTTTGACGAAACATTTCCTTGATTGTTACAGCAAAGAAGACAGTGGAATCCAAAGAAACCGTTGTGAAGGGGGACCCTATGGTGAAAATAAATGGGATTTATTTAACAGAATCAAACGCCATGGGCCACTTAAAGAGTCACCCACTTCAGCTAACTTACGATGGAGGCTTCAGTGAAATTCAGGAGCAAGAAATGTTTAAAGGGACAACATCCTTGCCATCTCATCTCAGAAGTGGAGGGTCAGTATTCTTTTGATTTGATTTTCTGGTCTGGATAACTGTCAATACCAGTTTGTTTCCTTATCTTATGGAGATGATTGATTTGCATTTTCCCTTTTACATAAACAAATTTTTAAGTTAATGATGCATGAATAGGAAAGACTTTTTTTCTTCATGGCTAGATGGAGTTGATTTTACATCATTCCCTATTTAATTCTTGGGAAAACGTTCATTCATACCTGCCAAGTGCTGCGTTGATAGGACTGTCAATAGTCTTTGCTTTAGACTGTTCCAGGCAGCCCTTGAGTGATGAGTGATTGTTCTGTTTGTGCGTTATTTGGGATTCTTGCCTGGCCTGGAATCTCTTGTTCCCTCCCTTTGGACTAGTTCACTGTTGTTAATTCCATTGAAGAGTGGACACTTATTTTATTCTCCAGTAGATACTTGGATTTAAACATTCATTTTGTCAATGGGTAAACAGTTAAAACAGAAGAATCCTATAGATTTCTGTTATCCATGGTATCTGTCTACTAATACCTCATAAAATGAATTATTGGGAATTACTTTATTTTATACCACGTTCCTAGGCAGGGCTTTCTAGGGCTTCCCCTAAAAAATTGAGGAACAATTTTCTTATCATATTAAAGATTTGTGGAGAAATGTTCACTGTATAGACCATGTGAATTCTCACCCTGGTGTTTTCCTAAAGAAGCCTTGAATAACTAGGGATGGGGGTCAGGGGTGGAGTTGGGAGAGAAGCCTCTGTTCTTCAGTCCCAGCCAATAATGATGCCAAGATAGGCAGAAGGTCCTGGACTGGACAGGGTCATTCAGTTAGAGATATTTTTCTTTGACTTTCCATTGGGTCATTATGGACAATTGCCTGGTTCAAATTTGCTTAACAAGATTAAATTCCATGGGCCATTTTAAGACCGAGTGCTTGTTGCCCTCACTTTAGATTTTGGGTCTGACTTTGGCTTGTACACACGCAGCGTGCTTAAAATTTTCCCGGAACTGGCTGCTTGGCAGCTGGTTAGTTTAGCTAAACTGACCTTGTCTGCTGACACAGCCTGAAGAGTGTCGCGCATGTGGAATTTATATTAGGCAACCCAGCGGTCCTTGTAATGTTGCTTTGCGTTCAGAACATTTTTTAAATTAAAGGAAAAATGAAATGTCTCCTTAAGTGGAAGAGAATGACTTCCAATTGGGACTTTGGGAGCTGAGCACAAAACATCAAACTGGCCATTGCAACCAATCTTTTCCAGTCGGTGAGTAAGAATAGGCTGCAGACCTCAGAGCTTGCACATGAAAGACTGCGGGAGAGCTCGTGTTGCTCCAGCACTGAAGCGAAAAGGAAACATTTCTCTTGCTGCACCCATCCTTATAGTAATTAAAGTTGACGAGGAAAAACCAGACAAGAGCTGTTTTATTTTATTGTACTTTATTTTATTTTGCAAATCTTCAGATGTTGCAGAATAATCTGGCAAGCCAGAGTTCATTATGTCTTCCGTCAGGGACAGCAAAGGCATTTTCAATTACATATTTGATCCCACAAACAGCAAAGGAGAAATCAATTAGGGACTGGAATCACCTCTTCCTGACTGTCCAGAATTATGAGGTGTTGGCAGCGGCACTAATTGTTTTTTTTTTCTGTTTTGTTAGGATGGCTTTTGCGTCATGTAATGATTGTATCTGAGTTGGGTTTGCAGTGCACCCTGGCAAGTTTAACTTCCAGTAACATTTCTGCTTTATGAATCTGTACCTCCTTTCATCATCGATGGGTTTTTGGTGGAGTGGCGCCAAAAAGACAGTTTATACAGTAGGATTAAAACAAACCGGAAAATGGAAACTATTAGCAATTCCTTCATTAATTGCATTTGTGAATCAATCTGGGACACTTGATAATTGTTTCTTGTAAACATTTAAGTGAATAATTCCAAGAAATGATCTTTGCTATGCAGTGGAGTATTCCCAGTTTTGATGCTAAAGCCTTACTCAATTAACATTTTTCCATCTTTAAACCATAATGTGGAAAATGAAGGCTCTTGTCAGTGAGCTGGGCTGGCAGGAGAAGGGAGGGAAGGGAATGCAAAGTAGAAAAGGAGGAGGCATGAGATGACTCCGGCTTGAGGAGACCAGCAGATCTCTTCAAGGGGACAGAGGAAGTGAGCGCCTGCTGCCCGTGCACGGTCCTTACACCGTGAATGGGGGAGCGGCCCTTCCCGCTGAGTGCTTTTCAGCTGGGGAGTAAAGGGTCAGTTTGTTCCAGTGAACGAGAATTCACTTAGAATATGGACAACTCAGACCTGGGATGGACTGGAGTTTCACTTTATGCCGGTCGTGATGGAAAAAGGATTTGCTAAGCAAGGCATCATCATAAACAAGATCTTGGGGGACTATTTAACTTTCCAAAAGAGAACATACTCTCAAGCACTTATCAACCTGTCATCTTCAAACAGCGGTGCAATTACGCCAGTCTCTGTGTGTCCATTTAAGGATCCATTTAAGGTTTGGCAGGCCTGCCCCGTAGCAACACTACACTGTCTCTTACTTTGAGTTGGCATGTGGATTGAAAATAATAAAGCTTCCATTAAAATACATATGTATATATATATATATATATATATATATCTGTGTCCATCTGTCCAACCATCCATCTACCCATCCATCCAGTGGTTCAGTCTGATGAACCCTTTCATATATCTGCTTAAAAACCTTTTAAGGTTTTCTGTGTAAATATTCAAACTATTGTGGTTTGGAAATGCAGTCTTCAGGAGGAAAGCCCAAGAGCAGTCAAGAACTCTTTGCTGGAAGCTGTGATCCTTGGATTTAGGTTTACTTCTCTCTCAGCCATTTGATTTATCTGCATGCTGGGCTCAGTTTTCTAATCTGTAAAATGGAAACAACTGTGCTCCTTCATTCCCATCTCCTCCCAGTTTTCACTGTAGGTGGTAGAATGATTCATAAGGCTTAAAAGCCTTATTTGTAAGTTGTCAAGTGCCAATAGTGTTTTGGGAGTCAAAAATAAGAAAAGAGGAGGGCATCGGAGTGGCTCATTGGGTTAAGCGGCCAACTCTTGATTTCGGCTCAAGTCACGATCTCATGGTTTGGGGATCGAGCCCTGTGTGGGGCTGTGCATTAACAGTGCACAGCCTGCTTGGGATTATCTCTCTCCCCCTCTGTCTGCCCCTCCCCAGCTTGCATGCTCTCTCTCCCTTTCTCTCAAAATAAATAAATAGACATTTAAAAAAAATAAGAAATGAGGGCTTCTGGTTAAAGATGGTAAAGCAAAGGCATTCTGCAGAAACTGAACAAAAGCAGCAGAGAATGAAAAACACAGAAATAAATGCCATCAATGAAATAGAGAAATAGTTCCAACCCCAAACTACAAAACATGGAGCAAACTTTACACTGCATATGGGCTTGGTTATTTTTGTCTACCTAGCATACTTCTTTTTGGAGGGTGAGCCGCCTTGCATCGTATAATAAGTCCTGCTCAGTCAGTGTTTAGAGAGGGACTCTGTGTTCCCTAGATACCTTCCCAGGGGTGATTATGAGGCCCCCGACTGGCTATCAGAGTTCTCCAACCCACCAGTCAAAGCAGTTGGTCTCAGGGTGCGCACATGATCCCAAACAGGCCAGCTGAATTCCTCTCTGGGCCTTTTGCCAAAGCCTTTGAGGAAAGTGCTCTTTCAAGTTTGTAAGTGGTAAAGATGATGTGGTCTTAGAGCCAACAGTGGCCATTTCATTGCTTCGTGGAGGATAACTCTGAGAGGGGAAGTGATGTGTAAACAGAGCCAAGGAAATGGAGCTACTGACCAAGTTTAAGGATGATATATTTATATACCCCTAGATCTAGCTGTGCCTGAGACCACCATATCCACATTGTAGATAGCTCTGTTTTGTGAACCAATGTGTTCGTTCTTTCTTTCTTTCTTTCTTTCTTTCTTTCTTTCTTTCTTTCTTTCCCTTCTTCCTTCCTTCTTTCTCTCTCTCTTTCTTTCTCTCTTTCTCTCTCTCTCTCTCTCTCTCTCCTTTCCTTTCTCTTCTTTCTTTTATTTATTTTGACAGGGACGGCTTACGGTACTTTAGGTTTTTGTCACTTGGAATATTGCAACCAGAAGAGTCTAGTTAACCTGCCAGAGTCTATGGAATATAGATGAAAACAAGGGGTAATTTGAGAGCAGACATTGACCTCCTCAGACATAGAGCAAGAAACAGATTTCCCCAAGAGTGAGTCTCTTAGTTCAGAAAGGTACATATCCAATAGTCTTTAATTAAAGAAATGAAACCTAAGGATGTGGGCCAGCCACAGAAGAAGGGGGGATGCCCCTGTTAAGACCCCATTCAAGATCCAGATGGTGAAAAGACAGGGGAACAGTGCTGAGGGTGATGGTCTCCTCCAGCTGGTGCGCGTCTATATACATGGGGAAGAGGGTTTGCTAGATTAGAACTCAAGCAGCCTATCATGTAACAGGGCTTTTCTGTGAGTCACAGAAACTTGCTACACACAGACCAAGGGAACACGTGCTTCAGGTTAAGAAAAAAAAAAAACAAAAAAACAGAAAATGGATTGTTCAAGAAAGCTAACTGAAGTTGAAGTCACAGAACATCCTAACTCTCTGCCTTGGTGGATCCTGTTCATTCTTCAACAAATAAATTGTTCTGTTTAAAGATAAATAATATGAGGACAAGCATTAACAGAGGACTCAAGCATAGATATGTAAAAAACATAACAAAAGACAGATGAAGAAAATGGATCACAAAAGGAACTGCCCTCTAAAAACAAGAGTTAGAACAGTTTTCCATAGTGTCAAATTCTTTTTTTTAAAAAGGAAAAAGGAGCTCTTCTTTGGGTTATAAGAATTCAAATTAGAGATTCTAAGCCAACCTAAAGAGATGAAAAATATGTTTTCAGTTCTCAAGAAATGAAAGAAAAATGTGTAAACATGGAGAATAAAGTCGTATTAGAAATAAAGTGAGAATGAAAACAGTTGAAAATGTAATGAGACATGGTGTACA